AATTTAAGATTATTTTTGTTAGAACATGCTGTACATACATTTCTACTCTTGTTTAAGGTATTGCACCTATGCAGTTCATTTAACAATGCAATGTAAATTTCTAGTCCTTTTGAAAGTTATTATTCTAAACTATTTAGGACCATTTGGGTCAGAAATTGCCCTTGCCTCACCTGCTGCAGTATGCTGTCCAAACTGGACAAGTAAACACTAAAAATAGTGACTGCTGAACTTTTCCAAAACAGGGGTAGAGTAGTCCTTCAAAAATTCCTGCTTCACAAAAAAGTCTGCCAAATCTTCTAGGCCTGTAGGCAGGAGATAGATGCCCCAATGTTGCAGAGAAACCTTGGGCGACTGCCCAGGCAGTCAGATATCTCTGTCAATTTGAAAGTAGTTTGTACTGCACTTCCTGTTTACTCAGATAATATTATATCCTTCTGGGGTCATTGATGGAACTGAAGACTAAGAAGTTATAGTTGCTATTTTCTTTATTCATGATGAAAAGTAATCTAGGTACAAAATTCTGGACTCATCAGGAGAGGATAGTTGATGGACTATTTTCTCTGAATTTGCAAATACGAAAGAGCTGGACATTGTGAATGTAATACCTGATAATTTTCTTATTATATACAGTTTTACTGTGTTAGAGTTCAAACTTTCCTTTTCTATTTAGACAAAAAGGGAGAAATGTTGTGGAATAATCTTTTTGTACACTGTGAATATGAGTCGTTCTGATTAGTTTAATAAAAAGCTGAATAGCCAATAGCTAGTAGGATTTTCAGGGCAGAGAGGATGCTGGGAAGAAGAAGGGAGCCTCCAAAAGATACAGAAAAGTAGGATGGACAATACATAGATGAGGTAAATGAGCCTTAGGACAGAATATATATTAGTAGAGATGTGTTAAGTTACAAGAGCTAGTTAGAAATTAGCCTAAGTTATTGGCTGAGCTATCATGATAAGAAGTCTCTATATTGTTTATTTGGGAGCTAACTAGATGGTCAGAGAAAGGCTCACCACAGGGAAGGACTGACATTATAGGCAGACTTCTAGTCTCAGCTAAAGGACAAAGAGAAAATAACTTCAGACAGGCATATCCTCATGTCAAGATTGGCAAAATTTCTCAGTCTGCCCATTGCTTCTATTTCAGATTTAGGTTCAGAACAGCTTTCTCCAGCTGCCCCTTTCTGGCTGTCCTTGCTCTTGCTGGATCTCTGGTGTAGTGGATTTGAGCATGCTAACCTCCAGACACAAATACCTTTCCCAACTCAAGGAATGTTTGCTTGCATGTCTGTAAGGCCACCAAGAGGCCAGGAGAGGACGTTGGGGTTACAGATGTTTGGGAGCAGACTGATGTGTGTTCTTGAGAACTGAACTCAGGTCCTGCAGGGAGTGCTCTTAACTGCTGACCCATCTTTTCAGCCTTGAATATAATTTACCACAATCCTTTTCTCTTACTGTTTTTTTTTGTTGTTGACTTTTTGTTTTGTTTCATTTTGTTTCACTAATATTCCTGAGGTTTCTTCTCAGACTTCTCTTTGGAACTAGTGTGGATTTTTCAAATGATTAAAAGTTCAAAATCTGCCAGTGGTGACCCACACCTTTAATCCCAGCACTTGGGAGGTAGAGGCAGACAAATTTTTGTGAGCTTGAGGACAACCTGGTCTACAGAGCGAGTTCCAGGACAACCAAGACTACATAGAGAAATCCTGTCAAAAAAAGGGGGGGGGAGTTTGAAGCCCAAATCAATGTAGCCTATGTTAATACCAAATAATAAGGTGGACAGTGAAGTATTGGGGAAATAAGGCCTTCATAACCCATATTCTCTCACCTGTTTCTTTTTGTTTGTTAAAAATATGTTTATTTTTATTATTTTTAAATTTTGTGCATATGTGTGTGCATGGGGGCCAGAGGCATCAGATCCCCTAGAGTTGGAGTTAAAGGCAGTTTGAGCTACCTTGAAGTGGGTTCTGAGACCTGAATAGAGCAGCACGGACAGCACATACTCTTAATGGCTGAGCTGTGTCTCCACTTTACACCCCAATCCCACCTTGTGAAACAGTCTTTCTGTGTAGCTCTGGATGGCTTCAGACTTGCAATGTCCCTTTTGCCTCTGCTTCCCCACTGCTGGGATTGCAGGAAGGAGTCACCATGCCTGGCAAACACAGCTGTTTTTCTAGTCAGTGAATACTGAGAATTGTCTGCAATAGAAAATGAAGCAGTCATTCCTTTTCCATGTGAGATGAAGTCAAACTTGCAGGATTTCTGTTCATTATTAGTGAAGGAAGATTTCCCAGTTGTCTGTTTCCCACTCTGCCCACATTGGGTTACCTGATGTGAAACTCCACACAGAATCACACACTTATGTCACGTAAGGGACATTTGTCAAATTGACTTGTGGGTCTAACTTGAGTCTTGGCCCTCTGCTCAGAGTTCTTTGTCACGAGGTTCCCCAGTTTCTGTAGAATTATTTGCCTTAGTCTGTTGGTAGAGTCAAAGTATCAACAATCCCTGCCTTGTGTGCTCTGTTCCTACATGTTTTTAGATTGTGCAAATGTAATCAGAGTAGCTCTGTTTCTCGGCTGAGAAAAGGCAACTTTGAGGTACAGGTTGTTCTTTCTTGGCTACAATTAATGATGGAAAGAAAAAAAAACGGTTAGGAGGGAAACCATAAATTTTTATCGCGTTCTTTGTACCCAGTGCCTTTCTCTGATAAGTGAGAAGCGATAAAACCCAGACAGTGTCAGAAGTTTCTTGCTTATGAAAACCTTCTCATCAAAGAGCACCCTGCTTGTGAGTCCAAAAACTTTGCTCACGCTTCAGCATTACATTTAGCTCTTCCCATGAGCTCACCAGCTCCTGCTTGCCAAGGCATAACAGGATTCCTAGGCTCCAGCTTGAATCGCTTTTCCAGGTTTGCAGAGCAGGATCACAGAGAAAACCAGCGGAAGAAGGGTAAAAGCCCCAGGAGGTTGACCATACTGAAGTAGGTGGTGTAAAGGGAATCAAGAAATAAAAGACAAAGTGAAGATCATAAGGAGTCCTAGAAGGAGAATGATCATTATGGCAATGATCTGTGCAAATGGCCTTGGCCAAGGACAGGATGAGCCCAGGAGGGCCAAATCCCACTTGAGGCTTGCGCTGTGCTTCAGCAGATAAAACTCTGCCCTTTACGGCTCTGTCTCTGAGCGCACATCACTTTCCTGCCTCTACTAGCCAGATCAGCTAAGACTTGCCCTGTTATGGCTGTTGAATGTCTTCCATTTGTCCCTCTACCTCCTCCTCCTCCTCCTCCTCCTCCTCCTCCTCCTCCTCCTCCTTCTCTCTCTGTCTCTCTCTGTCTCTCTCTGTCTCTCTCTCTCTCTCTCTCTCTCTCTCTCCCTCCCTCCCTCCCCCCACCCCATATGTGTACGAGTGTCGCATGGGTGTGGGTGCACAAAGTCTGGTGTCTTCCACGATGGCTCGCCACCTTCTTACACATTTTTTTGAGCCAGTGTCTCTTACTTGAATCCAGAGCTTTACGAATTTTCCTGTTTCAGCTCCCTGAGCACTGGGACTTCAGATGGGCTTCTGTGCTCACCCAGCATTTTTTTTTTTTGTTTGGTTTTTCGAGGCAGGGTTTCTCTGTGGTTTTGGAGCCTGTCCTGGAATTAGCTCTTGTAGACCAGGCTGGTCTCGAACTCACAGAGATCCGCCTGCCTCTGCCTCCCGAGTGCTGGGATTAGAGGCATGCGCCACTACCGCCCGGCCTAACCCAGCATCTGTTTGGGTGCTGGAGATCTGAACTCTGGCCTCTATGCTTGCTCAGCGATCACTTTACCTACTGAACCATTTCTCCAGCTCTTTCCCATCTAGCTTTCTTTCCTCTCCTCTTTTCTAACTTGCTGTGGCCTCTGAGTGGCTTCAGTCCATGAGGAACACTGGCAGGATGGAGAACCAATTAATCCCCCCACCTTGGTTTTTTCAGACAGGGGTTGTCTGTGTAGCTGTGACTGTCCTGGAACTCACTCTGTAGACCAGTCTGGCTTCAAACTCAGAGTTCCCCCTGCCTCTGCCGAGCTCCCGAGTGCTGGTGTGAGCACCACCACTGCCCAGTGGAAGATCCAATTCTTCCAATTCTTAGTACCTGACTTCCTCCAAATGGTCTCTCCTTGAACTCCTCTCTCTTTGGCTCTAGAAATTACACTTCTAGCCCTTGATACCTAGACTGACAACGGCTCTCCCTGGTGTACTAGTCCCTCCTTCCTGTGGTTTCTCACCCACACATGGTCCTTCGAGACTGGAGTGTGGAATCTTTCTGACTGACCCTGTGCTGATAGGCAATTCTCTGCTGCCTGCGGCTTGTGACACTGTATTATTGGGCAACTCTAGGTGTCTTCTATTATCTGCATGTTTTTGATTTATAACGACCGTTATAGACAAAATGATACTCAAACACCTGATTCTGTTTATTCTGCTATATCTTTTTTTGGGTTTTGAGTTTTAACCATGGTGGTGGTGCTGTCATGTCCAACGAATACTAACAACAGCTAATAACTGGGTAGTGTTCTACAGCTGCAGAGATGATTCTAGAAGTATCAGTAAGCTGTATTGCCACTCTGGCACGTGAGCATTCACGGTCATGTGATTTCAGCATCTAAGAGATGATGATGCACCTAAGAGTCTCTTGCAGGAAAGGCTTTGGAGGGTCAGTCGGCCAGGGAAACGCAGTGGAAGGCCAGTATCCCTTCAGGTCTCTGTTTCCCTGGCTGTAAAGGACAGCAAATTGCTCCTAAATTCAGTCCAGAGCAGAAGTGCGGAAGCCACTAAGGCAGACCTTGCTTTTACAGGAGGCAGCAGAGCTTGGCGCCCAGCGGCTCAAGGCCGGGTGGGTGGGGCGAGGGCAGGCCTCGTGTGATTGGTGTGCGGCCCTCCGTCCCGACCAATGAACTGCAAGCACAGGCGGGGCGGGGCAGACAGGGTGTCTTAAACGGCGTGACGCGCCGGGCGGGCGGTCACCTCGGGCTGCGTTGCTGATTTGCGGTCGCTCACGCCTAGCGGACCCTGTCAGGTATCAAGCGCGCGCCGGGACTGGATCGAAGAGGCCCGCGGGACCTGCTCGGTGTCCCGGAGTCTCAGCCGGGGCAGCGCAGGGCTGGAGGGTGCGACACATCCCCGGGGCGGGGCGGGCTCGATGGGGACGGGCTGGGAACTGGAGGCCGGAGACGTGGCACGGCCGCCTGCCAGGCACTGCTCGGGCTCGCCGCCCTCAGGGCACTCGCCTAGAGCCTTCGAGGCCTCGGCTTTCGAGAAGGTGCCGTCTCCAGCAGCCTGGCTGCCGGGGATCGGATCCCTTGGGGACAGAGCTGTGAACGCGTGGCTCCGTCACCGGGCTCGGGACACGGATGCGGACCGAGTCCGAGTTCTTCGGGCAGCCTCTATGTCCCGCGACTGCTCCTGCCCATCCCTCTCCACTCCCCACTTTCTCCCCAGATCTAAACCCAATAAGAGATTGAGGAAGTGACGTGTACATTATTGAGATGTTGGCTAGAGATTGGCCCACAGGGCTTTCGGCACGAAGACCCCCCTATCTCCTGCACCCCTCCCCCCTTAGACCTTTGGCAATAGATGCTGAACCTCAGAAATTCCAGTCTAATTGCGTGGAACTTTCGATGCCAGCAAACTTTGCCTCAGGCCTACATCGTGTCTGCTAGTACATTTATTTACCTTGTAAATGTGTCAAGATGTATTATGGGAGGAGAAAGAGTGATTTTGGATTGAAGTGCCCTTTCCAACCTCCCATTTCTCCATCCTAAATCTCCTAAATCAGGATTGTCAGAGCGTCTGTGGGGAAATTAATTTCATGTAACCTGAAATGTATTTATGATTTTTTTATTGTGTGTGTGTGTGTGTGTGTGTGTGTGTGTGTGTGTGTTTGTGGGTGTGTGTACATGAATGCAGTTGCCTTCCGAGACCAGACCAGAGAGGTCCAATCCCTCTGGAGCAGGCTTCTCCGGAGCTTGTGCCATGTGGGTGCTGGGAACCAAACTCTGGTCTTGTGGAAGAATAGTAGATGATCTTAACTGCGGAGCCTTCTCTCCAGCCCCTAAAACTTTAATTAGAATATATTTTTAAAGTTTTTTTTCTTGTCTCATATATTTTCCTTCCACAGTCTATATTATGGTTGTTTGGGTTTGCATTTTACGCCGTTTGCTGAGTTCTTAAGGATGAGTCAGATTCCATACTTTTAAAAATAGCAATGAATGGGCAGTAATTTGGAGGTGTGTGGAGGGTGCGGTGTAGCTGGTCCAATCCTTTCCCAGTAGTATTACTTTAGTTTGCCTGTGACGCACTTGAGGTGAATTTTAGCCAGAATATGGGTTACGTAAAACAAAGCTTTTGTTGGCAGAACTTCAAAAAAATAAGGCCCGTATTTGTGAATGGTTACCTCAGAAAAGTAAATATTTGACAATTGCTAAACCAAATTTACTTCTCGAGCTGAATATTTTCAATGGCTTTTGGATGACTTTACACTGATGGTTCTTTTAGAGTAATTTAAAAAGATGTTATTTAATAAGGCAGACTGAACAAGTTCTTCCAAATGCAGCCCTTTGTGGAAACTGTACTGTGGAAACATTGCTGATGTGGGTTGATTATAAGGCAAGGAAGTGATGGCCTTGGAATTAAATGTTACCTACTCAGCAGTCTTGGCTTATCATTAGAACTTGTTCTCTTTTCTAGGCCCTTATATTTGCTAAATATAAATAGCAAATCGATAAAATAAAAATAGTAAATATAAATGATAAATGGATAATAATGTATTTAGCAACACATTGTTTTCTTTTTGAAGACTGAAAGCTATTAGGTCTAAGAGTGAACCTTGATGAGAAGGTGAGCTTCTGCACAGGAGGACGGATGAGCTGCCTTGATGCAGGCGGGTGGCCTCATCACCTCTCTAGTCTGGGTCACTTTCTGTTGCTACCTTGCTTCCTTTAGGAGCTGTGTGGTCAGTAAGGACCTTGTTCATTTGTCAGACAAGAGAATACCAGCAGAAGGCCCTTATTCAGGCTAGGCGTTTTTTTTTTTAATTTTTTATGATTTATTTATCTTTATTTTATGTGCATTGGTGTGAAGGTGTCAGATCCCCTGGAACTGGATTTTCAGACAGTTGTGAGCTGCCATGTGGGTGCTGGGAATTGAACCCGGGTCCTCTAGAAGAGCAGTCAGTGCTCTTAACCGCTGAGCCATTTCTCCAGCCCCTAGGTGTTTTTTGAGACATGGTTGGTCACTTGTTTTTATTTTCTTGTCTCATATCTATCTATTTATTTATTTAAGGCAAGCTCTCACTCTGTAGACCAGGTTGGCCTCAAACTCATAGAGATCCATCTGGCCCTGCCTCCAGAGGGCAGGGATTAAAGGTGATGTCAGAGTGCCTGACCATCTCTAACTTCTTGGGTAGCCAAGAATGACCTTGAACTCCCAATCTTCCTGCCTCTGCTTCTCCAGTTTATTTGGTGGTGGAGATGGAATCCAAGGCTTCAGACATAGGCAAGTACTCTACCAGTTTAAAAGAAGAAGCCATGCAGCTTTTTTTTTTTTGTAGAAATTGGCTAGCGTTCCTGTGAACTTAGAGCAGAAGAGGACCTAATGAATGGCCCCTTTGTGCTAAACCTGGAGCTTTAACATGAGCTCCTCAAGACACCCGTGAATGGCTTCAGCCTCATTTGTCCAACGGGGAAACCGAAGCTCTGGAAGACTGACACATTCACCTCCTAGAGCTACAGACAGAATTTAAATTGTGAAACGCTGTGGATTTTCTACCCTCCTTTGACCATTTCCAAGTCTAGAGAAGATGATTGATGGCTATTTTAAAGGCCATTTGAGTTTGAATTTTGTTCTACTTGAACGCAGAGGCTCTTTAATAGAAATATGCATAGTAGATTCTGCTATATATCTTGGTCTGTGCAACTCTGATATTTCTCAGTTAAGTTAATTCTCCAGAGATCTACTTTGAGAACTTGGAGAACATTACTCATGTTTTGAATGTTTTTGTTAGGCTACTGATAATAATTTTTTTTCTGTATAAAATTGAGGGGACCCAGCAGATAAATAGATTGTAGCAGAGCAGGTAATTCTTGTGCAAACTGAGACAAGTTGAGTTTAGACAACCTTTTAAAGATTCTTTCTCTTTGTAGTTTTTGTTTTAAGTCAGCTTAGTGTAGCCTTGACCTGGAAACCCTCCTGCCTCTGTGCCCCCAAGTGCTGGGATTATAGTAGTCCCCCAAACCCCTTCTGCAGTCACTTGCAGTTTTATTTCTACCTGTAAAAATACATTACTGAAGCATTTTTAAGATTTTTTTTCAATAACCAGGTTTTTTGAGTTGTCTTTCTGTCTATTGAAAAATCAGGGCTGTAGACTTCGGTAGCAAAAGTATAAGAGTAGTTTTTATTTTAAAGTTTGACACTTTCCCTAAGAACAGGTGACCTAGTGGACCCCAAACTGCACTTCCTCTGAGTATTGACTGTACTTTTCTTTAAACAACACTGTTTTCTCAAAGCTTACCAGATCCTTTTAACTTGATTTTGTTTGCTTCAAACAAAAAGACAGGGTTTCTCTGTGTAGCCCTGGCTGTCCTGGAACTCACTCCGTAGACCAAGGCAGGCTTCAAACTTAGAGACTGACCTGCCTCTGCCTCCTAAGTGCTGGGATTCCACCACCCAGTACTATAAATACAATTTATGGTCATTGTAGAAAATAGAGAATAGTTAGTCACAGTGTCTTTTTTTGTTTCTTTCCTTAATATTTTTTCTTAATGTCTTTGCATATTTGAACATCCTGTATGTATAATTTTTTTCTTTACTTAAACATATCCTAAAATACCTTGCCATGTCATTAGAAACTTATTTTAGAGATTTATTTATTTTTATGTGTATGAATGTTTTGCCTGTGTGCATGTAAGTACACTGGTAAGGAGTATCTGAGAAAGCATGGTTTTTTTTTTTTTCTTTCCTGACACAGGGTTTCTCTCTCTGCCTTGGCTGTCCTGGAACTTACTTTGTAGACTAGTCTGGTCTCGAGCTCACATAGATCTGCCTGCCTCTGCCTCCTGAGTGCTGTGAGATCAAAGAAAGCATGTTTTATGCTTGTTCGCTAGGCAAAAAGTACTACTGTTTTAAGTTTTTAGTAGTTCAAACAGCATATAGTGTGTAGATTGTAGAGAGCCTAGAAAGAGATGGTGAACAGGTTTTTAGACTTAGTGCTGGCGATGGGGAACAGTTCTTTGTAGTACAGCTGCCCTTTCCAGTCTAGTGATTCTTGCATTGGTTTTGGTAGAAAGAAAATACTGTGGAAGTTACAGACCTTTTCCTTAAGAAGATGTACTTTTGTATATAATTGTGTGTGTTGCTTTAGGAGTCACTGGAACCCTCCCAAGACAGTCCCTAGAGCTTGAGTTCCAAATCTGTACTGTGGTCTGAACCGTGGGAAGAAAGAATCAGGGCAGTCTTTGACAAACAAGACAGAGTTGTGGGATTTGATTAGTGATTGCAAATTCTGGAACCTCACTGGATTTTGAGTGTGGAGTGAGAGCCAAGTTGACAGGGAAGTTAGCCAAGCCCCATGATCGGCTGACTTGGCAGCTCAATCAAGAATGTGAAGATTATGCATGGTTTGACTTGTTAGAGAATTTTTGTTGAAACATGAATTAGCTATTTGTCTTTTAAAAATAAGGAGATTTAGATATCCTAAGCATACCTGGTGTTGGTAACGTTCCTTAATCTAGAATTCATCTTAAAATGTCTCCCTTCTCTGCCTCTAGACTTGATACCAGGCATGCTCTTCATTTCCTTTCTGTTGCAGTCCCTGGGCTCTTTGCCTGCCAGGGTCTGAATGGTGAGCTGTGCACACACCAGTCGGGGAACTCTCTTGGGGGCTGGCTTTGGGACTGGAGCAGAAAGGTAGCCTGATTCTGAAATGTAAATAGTGTGAGCACCTGTGTGCTCGGGAACTCACACGCCTAACTCAGCAGTTTCTGCTTTGATGTTCTCTTGGTTGAAATTAGTTTTTTCTTTGAACAGTTGATGTTTTGATATTTCTTGTGTGTGTGTATGTGTTTGTGTGTGTGTGTGTGTGTGTGTGTGTGTGGTACCTGGGGTTATAGAAACAGCCATTCTGTTTTCATCTATTTAAATATTTGTGTTTTTTACTGTTAAAGCTCAAGACTCTTAACGAATCACAGAACAAGTCTTTTTGCCTTTGTTTACGCTGCATTTGACTTCCAGGTGTTTTAGATATTTGTGCTAAATGACAGAACCTACCTTTTTTAGTTTGGGTGCTAAACTCTTTCCACCTCCAAAAGTTACTTTTTCCTGCCTCTCCATTTTTTCTTTTAAGATTGATTTGTTTTTTATTTTATATGTATTAAATGTTTGTCTGCATGTATATATGTGCACTATATGGGTGTCTGGTGCCTGCAGAGGTCAGAAGAGAGTGCTGGATCCCCTGGAGTTACAGACAGTTGTGAACCACCATGTGGGTGTTGACATCTGAACTCAGGCCTTTTGCAAAAGCAGCAAATCCTCTTAACTGCTGAGCCATCTCTCTAGCTCTGTCTCTATTCCACCCCCCCCCCCCCCTTCCTATTTTGAGATAGTGGCTACTTGTAGCCCGTGGAACTTACTTTGTATGTAGGTCAGGCTAGCCTGGAACTTTGGTTGATCATCTTGCCTCTGCCTCTTAAATGCTCCTAAAACCTTACTTGGGTTAAAACCACGTTTGTTATTGTTTCACTACTACCTACATACTGGGACAGAGTAAAAATGCAAACTAGGGAATAGAGGTGGTGGTCCTGAAGGCCACAAGTGGGAGCTAAGGGAGGAAGAGGCATGTGATGCTTGTAGTTCTGGCTCCAGATGGTCCTTTGATTCTGGAGTTGAAGACCAGCCTGGGCTTTAAAAAAAGTACAAAATGGTTCATATAGCCCCTGCTTCCTACCCCATGACTCACAGCCACCCAGCAGCTCTGGCGTCTGCCTTGGCGCCCTAATGTCTGCCCTGTACTCTGTTAGGAAAAGGCTACATACTGAGTATGGTAGATGCTCAGCAGTTACTTGGTGAACAGACGTGCGTTGACTCTGGAAAGGTTCTCACTCAGCGCCTTCTCTTCCTTTGGACAGGTCTCTGTACTTCCATTCCTAAAGGACTCACACAATGTTTTCCAAACTAGCAAGTTTGCAGACAGTTGCTGCTCTGCGGCGAGGGGTCCATGCTTCAGTCGCCTCTGCTGCATCTGTTGCAACTAAGAAGACAGTCCAAGGCCCGCCGTCCTCTGACTACATCTTTGAACGGGAATCTAAGTATGGTGCACACAATTACCATCCTTTACCTGTAGCCCTGGAGAGAGCAAAAGGTATGTTTTGAATTAACCCGCCCCCACATTTCCTAGAAATCTGTTATAAGAAATAGTTGTTTTGTATTTTCTCACATCTAACCCCCATTGAATGTGTGTTGCAGATGGGGCTCCTTCGCCTTTACCAAGTGTCTAGGGCATCTGTGCCGGTGTGGCCTCTCCTAGGGGACATGCAGAAGAAATAGGAACTTGACATCGCCTCCAATTTTTTTTTTAACTATTAGTTTTTATTTTGACATAACCCCAGTAAAAAGGATGATGATGTTAAGATGTATCTTTCCCCTTCATCTAGATAGTTGAGGGCTTTTACTGTTGTGTTCTCTCCTCCCTTCTGGCCCCACAAACTCCCTGTTTTTTCGCTTTTCCCTCCTAGATATTCAGTGTGTCCTTTCTAAGGGTCCGCAGAAACTTTATCTCTTATGTGCACACGTGATCAAAATCAGGAAGTCAGCAACACAGCAGGAATCCACTTTTCTTTTGTGTCCTTACAAAGGAACTTTAGAGCAGGCCTCTCATTCTTGTTGGGTTCAGTTGTCTGCTGGCCAGTGGTAGTAGTGGTTCTCCTCCTCTCCCTCTCCTTTTCCTCCTCCTCTTTCTGTTCTCCTCCTCCTATCTTCCCTTTCCTACTTCTTTTCTTCCTCCTCCTCTTCCTTTTCCTTCTTCCTGGGCTAGTATTTCTTTATTGTAACTCTCTCCCCTCTGAGTTCTTTCAGCTCTGTAAGCTAGTGTTTCTTAACATTTGGCATTGCCTGAATTGATTTCTGCAATGGAATTGCTAGGTCATGTAGTAACTATGCTTAGCTTGTAGAGGAACTGCCAACCTTAAAAAAAAAAATGTGTATGAGAGGTGCCCGTGCCTGAGCAGAAGCAAAGAGGAAGTGAGGTGTCTTACTCTCTCAGGTTCTGCTTTACTCCCTTGAGGCAGGGTTTCTCACTGACGTGAAGCTGGCCAGTGAGCTCAGAGGACCTGCCTGTCTCTGTGCTTAATGCTAGGATTACAGGAATGTGTGGCCATGCTCAGCTTTATTTAAACGTGGAATATGGGGTCTCAAACTCGGTCCTCATTCTATGACATCATAACAAGAACTCCTACTCACTGAGCCCTCTCCCCAGCTCAGAACAGCTACCTTTTTGTCTGGGCAGCTGTACTATTTTTGTTTAATTAATGGTATTGGCAGAGATATGCTCTCATTGTGTAGTTCAGGCTGGTCTTGGACTTGCATTTATCCAACCTCAGACCCAAGTGCTGGGATTACATGTATTCATCACCACACCCAACCACAACTGTTCATTTTATGTTTCCATTAGCAATGCTGGGAATTCCAAGTTGTTTATATCTTTGCCCTTTTTTTCCTTTTTAAAAACTATAACCATTCTAGTACAAAATAGTATCTCTTTGTTTTGATTTGCATTTCCCTAATGACTGGCGATGTATATCTTTTCATGTTTAATTAACACATGTATGTGTTTGAAGGAATGGTAGCAAGTTATTTGACCATTTTTAAAAAAGGGGTTCAAGGTTCTCCTTGAACTCCTGATCCTCCTGTTCTTATTCTCTCAGTGGTGGTATTACAGGTATGTGCCACCATGCTTAGTCATCATTGAGTTCTGGATTCTAAATCCTTATCAGGCATGTGGTTTGCAAATACCCTGTTATATGGTAGGTTGTAGTCTCTACAAGACTTTTGTCTGTTGTGTGTAACTTCTTTATAAATTCACATTTTTGACTCCTGAAATTAAAATTGGTAAAGCAGTTATAATCTTCCTCTTCTCTCCTCTCCTCTCCTCTCCTCTCCTCTCCTCTCTTCTCCTCTCCTCTCCTCTTCTCCTCCTCCCTTCCTCCTTTTCCTTCCTTCCTTAAATAAACTTTACTGTAAAAAACTTGCAAATAAAAATAACATCACACACTGAAATTAAGCAGCCACAAAATCTATATGTCTCAATAAACTTCTGTACAGTTAGACTAGCTGTTTGGAATGGAAGCTATGGAGCTTCACATTGGATTTTACACTTTTCACTATTTGGTATAATTTTTATGTGCTTATTCATCACTAAGAAACAAAATTCATGATAGAACTACAGTCTTTTTATACTGTTCTGTTAAATATATTTGTCAGGGGTAATAGGTAAAATATACCATTAATATTTCTTTCTCAATCAAAGTGAAGTAGGCTTGCACTAAACCAAGTTTTTTGTTTGTTTTTTGGGGGGTTGAGATAGGGTTTCTTGTAGCCTTGACTATCCTGGAACTCTCTCTGTAAGCCAGGCTGGCCTTGAACTCAGATCCACCTGCCTCTGCCTCCTGAGTGCTGGGACTAGAGGTGTGTGCTACCATCACCTGGCCACTAAACTAAGTTTTAAGCCTAAAAATATATTAAATAGAGCTTCATATGTAGATGTGTAGATGGTTAAAAATAAGTCTTCATTTTGGGGGTCTTATGTCATATAGAGACTCTCAAATTTTTTTCTTCCTTATTTTTTTAGGTATTTATGTGTGGGATGTAGAAGGCAGGCAATACTTCGACTTCCTGAGTGCTTATGGTGCTGTCAGCCAAGGGCACTGCCACCCCAAGATCATAAATGTTATGAAGAGTCAGGTGGACAAACTGACCCTAACTTCTCGTGCTTTCTATAACAACGTCCTTGGTGAATATGAGGAGTACATTACCAAACTTTTCAACTACCACAAAGTTCTCCCTATGAATACAGGTAAGACATTCCCATTTTTGTTAAGTTCCCAATAAATCAATCATCTGTTTCTATTCGTATTTATTTAACATCTCACTAGATTGCCGAGGCTAGCCCTGAATTTACAATCTTCCTGAATTAATCTTTCATGACTGGGATTCAGTTGCTAATCTTATTTCTTTGATAATTTGCAGTGTTAGTTAAATCTGAGCATTTTCCTCACAATAGGAGTGGAGGCTGGAGAGACTGCCTGTAAGCTTGCTCGTCGTTGGGGCTACACCGTGAAAGGCATCCCGAAATACAAAGCAAAGATTGTTTTTGCTGGTATGTGAATTTAATTGTTACACGATATATTATTTATGGACAGTTTTATAAAGGTTGGTGGTGGGATTACTTCTTGGATTTCTAAGTTACTTCTTCATGTATGAGAATACTGCAAGCTACCTACTCAACAGAATGCATTTTCAAATTCACTTACATTAAAGATCCTCAGACAATCCAAATACGTTGAATGCTCCCTTCCTTGACATTATAATCCTTCACAATGCTAACTGACACAGATGTGTGCCTTTGCTCAGGGTCATATTTTTTCTATTTAATAAATGTGGCTAGGGGTCACTGGAGGTCAGACACTAACTACTCCAGGACAGGGGATAGACAGGTAGTTAGTCTGGGAGCTGCCTGTCCTCAGAGCTTCTACTCTAGTAGGAAGCAAACAGCCTAACATCAATCAGCAGAGCAAACAACTACATCATTTCAGATGGGGTTAACTCAACCATGAAAAGTACAAATACAGTAAAGCGAATGGGAATTCATTTCACTAGGGATGTCTTGACATCTCCACCACCTATGCCAGCAGCAACTCAATGAATTCAACACTGGGTGGTTGTATCTTAGCTTCTTGGCATCTCCAAGTATACTCTTGCAAAAGCCTCTGCCACCCGAGTCTCTGACTCAGGCGTCAGTCCATCTTTTTTTCATCTACATCCAAAAGCATAATCTTTAAGATAACATGCACTGATGAGACCAGGAGTCAACTTGTCTTCCTCTTCCTGACCTCAGGGATCTCATCTTGTAGCTCACCCTGCAGGAATAAGAGAGTCTTTTGCTGCTATTCCGCTCACTGACTCATCAGCCTGTGTCAATACAACATAAAAATATCTTTGCACCCTTTGCTAGTATGAAAGAGACTGTACAATCTATAATGGAAATTATATTTTGTTTAGAATAGCCAGCAAGGATACCCACAACTAAAACACGAGTTTTTAAAATGGTAAGTTATAGGCAGTTGCTTATGAAACCACAGCCATGCTGCTGTGTTAAGCCACCTTTTTTCTGAATTACTCAGAAAAGTGGAGCTTTTCCCATTTCTTCTTCCTTTTTTTTTTAAAGAATTTATTTATTATGTATATAGTGTTCTGCCTGCATGTACACCTGCAGGCTAGAAGAGGAAACCAGATCTCATAGATGGTTGTGAGCCATCACGTGGCTGCTGGGACTTGAACTCAGGACCTCTGGAAGAGTAGTCAGTGCTCTTAACCTCTGAACCATCTCTCTAGCCCTCCCATTTCTTCTTTTCTGTCTCTTTTGGATGCTGGCAAGAGCCTAACTATACTTTCTCTAGTACGTTAGGCTTTTTCATGTTTTGGTGAAGCCCTCCTATGTACCATGTAGTTGTTCATCTGACATGGGGCTCTTGTCTTCCTCTTCTGTGTGCTTCCTCTGGGCAGTTGCAGGATTTCCATCTTATGGTTATTCTTTTAACCTTGAATAAAATGTCCTTGAGCTTTGAAATACAGATATGGAGCTGGGCAGTGGTGGTGCATGCCTTTAATCCCAGCTCTTTGGGAGGCAGAGGCAGGCAGATCTCTGTTGCAAGGAGAGGCTACTTGTTTGGTTCCTGGCCGCCCAGCTAGCTTAGACCCGAAATAATCACACAGAAACTATATTATTTAAGTCACTGCTTGGCCCATTAGCTCTAGCTTCTTATTGGCTAACTCTTACATCTTATTTTAACTCATTTCTATTGATCTGTGTATCACCACGAGGTCATGGCCTACCAGCAAAGTTTCAGCATGTCTGACTCTGGCAGCTCCATGGTGTCTCTCTCACTCTGCCTTCTTCCTCCCAGCATTCCGTTTAGTCCCCCGCCCCAATACCTAAGTTCTGCCCTATCAACAGGCCCAAAGCAGTTTCTTTATTCATTAATGGTAATCACAGCATACAAAAGGAAATCCCACATCCGATCTCTGTGAGTTCTAGGCCAGCCTGATCTAAAAAGCGAGTTCCATGACAGCCAGGCTGCACAGAGAAACCCTGTCTTGAAAAAATCAAAAGAAAAAAAAAAGAAGGAAATTCTTCATATCTATGCAGGATATTTTCTCTCACACATTCCTATTGTAAATGTACCTTCTTTGTCTAGAAGCCATGCTTTGAATGTCTCAGTTGTTAGGCTTTGGTCAGAAAGGGTCTGAGAAGAGTGCTGCAGACGTATCTACAATAGTACTTAGGAGACGTTGGCTGCCGTCAGGGAGCTGCTGGAGTTGGTATCAGAAAGCTCGCAGTGGTTCTCTAAGGAATCTGTTATTTATTTTTAGTCAGGCTTCCCGAGGTGTTTGTAGGGGAGTACTTTCTAAACTTGTGGGCTTCTCTGGAATAGTCACTGTTTGTCTCTTTTAGATGGAAACTTCTGGGGCCGAACATTGTCTGCAATCTCCAGTTCCACAGACCCGACCAGTTATGAAGGCTTTGGACCCTTCATGCCAGGCTTTGAAACCATCCCGTATAACGATCTGCCCGCACTGGAGGTACATCAGGGTGGCTATGGGACTTGGCTCACAGCAACAGGAAACTTTCTAAATTAATTGTTACCTGTTCAGTGTGTGAAATAAAAACACATCTAATGAGGGGCCTGGAGAGATGTCTCAGTGGTTAAGATCACACACTGCTCTTGCAGAGGTCTCAGGTTCAATTCTTTTTGCCTATTTGGTAGCTCAAAACCTTCTGTAATTCTATAGTTCAGAAGACTTTGAACAGCCGTGCCCGTGGTACGGACACATACTTACATAACAGACAAACATTCACATTCAGAAATTAAAATCATTAATGAGGACAGAGTAGGTTGCTCAGTGGTAAAACAGCTTGTGTGAGGTTCTGGGCTTGACCCCAGTACTTCAGAACAAAGTTATGAGTCTGAACATTTATCGTAAATTAGGTTGAAATCTGACTTATTCTCAATAGTGGACAGTCAGTTTTTAACCTAGGGAAATATGCTTTTGTTATCTAGTGCTTAGGCAAGCTAGCCAGTTCAGATCATAACAATTTGAGTATTACCCACCTAATTATTTCATTCTCTTTCTCCCTACCTTCTTTTATTCTCTTTCTTTGAGATAGGCTCTCATTTTGAAGCCTTGGCTGATCTAGAAAAGTATGCAGACCAGGCCAGTCTTGAACTCATAGAAATCTGCCTGGTTCTGCCTCCCAAGTACTGAGATTGAAGGCCTGTGCGCCATCACCCCAGGCCTAGATAAAACTTTTTTAACTTGCAAATTGTAGCACTTTGTTGTGGTGCTAGGAAAGGAACCCAAGGCCTTGTAGGTTATGGTCAGTTGTTCTTCCACTAAGGTATAGCCCATCTCCAACATGTAGTACTTTTGTAAAATAGAAGCAAAAAAGTTGTAAGATGGCTTTAACGGTCCACTTAATTTTTAAAGAAAAATTTATGTGAGTTTTTGCTGGCATGTAAATGCACCATGTGTATGCAGTGTGCTCCAGGAGGCCGAAAGTGGCATTGGATCCTCTGGAACTGGACCTAAAGGCAGTTGTGAACTCTCATGTGGGTGCTAAAAATGGAATCAGGATTCTTGGCAAGAGTAGCCAGTGCTCTTAATGGCTGAGCCATCTCTCCAGCTCCTGCCTTAACTTTTGGTTATAATACATCTATGACATAGCAAAATGTGGGGATAGTTTGACATAGTGGTATGTGCCTATGAACCTAGCATGCTGGAGTCCTGCAATTGCAATGGTGACCCACCATGCCAGACTTTATTATCATCATCTCCCCCTTACTCCTGCTGTTTATTTATTTATTTGTTTAATTTTATTTATTTACTTTGAGTGTTTTGCCTGCATATATGTATGCCTGGTGCTCCTGAACTGGAGTTATGGATGGTTGTGAACCACCATATGAGTGCTGGGAGTCAACCCAGTTCCTCTGCAAAAGCAACAAGTGTTCTGCTAAGCTATTGCTCCAGGCCTCCCCCCCCCTCCTCCTTCCACTTTTTTTTTGGTTTTTTCAAGACAAGGTTTCTCTGCAGCTTTTAGAGCCTGTCCTGGAACTAGCTCGTGTAGACCAGGCTGGCCTCGAACTCACAAAGATCCACATGTCTCTGCCTCCCAAGTGCTGGGATTAAAGGCGTGCACCACCACCTCCTGGCTTCTCATTCTTAACAGGAAGTATATGTAGTATTTGACTTCAATTGCCAAATATTGTAGAATGGAAACTATTAGAACTCCCTTCTGTTTCTTTTGTAGCGTGCTCTTCAGGATCCAAATGTTGCTGCCTTCATGGTGGAGCCCATCCAGGGTGAAGCAGGTGTTGTTGTTCCAGATCCAGGATACCTGATGGGAGTCCGAGAACTCTGCACTAGGCACCAGGTAGTCCCATTCACTTTGTAGTGAGGCCAAACTTGCCGACACTTATTTGAGCTCTGCTGACAGGATAAATGATTGTCTCACTTTCTACTAGATGATTCCAAGAGTTGAGGAACATTGTAACGCTTAGAACCCTCTGTGGAAGCTAACTTGCCAGTCTCTAGAACACTGGCGAGATGCTGTGGTGTGGGCTGCTGTAGCGGCAGGCCTCCAAGCTCTTACTGTGATTTTCTTCTCTTCTCTTTTAATCCCTCCCAAGCCCTGTCTTGTGTTCCTTTGCTCCAAATGTTACGACTCTTCTTCCCTTTCTTTTGCTAAAGCTAATAGTATATTGTTTACTATTGAGAATTCCAGAAAATGTTTGGTAATTACATATGAGTTAATTATCTGAATTTGTTCTTAGAGTGTAATTAGGGCCATTAAAGCCCTCCAAACTCTTTGTGTCTGTATAAATGCCTGCCTTCCTTCCTTCCTTCCTTCCTTCCTTCCTTCCTTCCTTCCTTCCTTCCAGATAGGGTTTCTCTGTGTAACAGTTCTGTCTGTACTGGAACTAGCTCTTATAGACCAGGCTGGCCTTGAACTCACAGAGATCTACCTGCCTCTGCCCCCTGGAGTGCTGGGATTAAAGGCGTGCGCCACCACCGCCCAGCTATGCCTTTTCTGCCATGCAAAGCAGTGCCACATAGGCCCCTGGGAGGTGTTAGGCTGAACCAGCAAACAGATTTCCAAAGGACACCATTCAAATTGTGTGGGAACTAAAAACATCGGCACAGTTTTCAGGGTGTGTCAGAATGACACTAATGGGATGGTTAAATGACGGTGACCTTTGTTTCTTCACGAGGTTAGAATGAGAGTTGTGTTGCCTGTTCTTTCTCCCAGGTCCTGTTTATTGCTGATGAAATACAGACGGGATTGTCCAGAACTGGTAGACGGCTGGCTGTGGATCATGAGAATGTCAGACCTGACATAGTTCTTCTCGGGAAGGCCCTTTCTGGCGGCTTATACCCTGTAAGTTCAAAACCCCTATATTTCTTCTGACCTTGACTGGGATGCCTTTCAAGTCATTTGATTTGACTCCAGGCCACCTGGAACAGTTTAGACTTCCATTGTGCAGTCTACTTGGTTAATTTGACCAAGTGGAGTTGTGTTTTGGAATGTGCTGCGGCATTTGATTTGGACAGAAGCATTTCCCTTCAGAAGCTCCTCCTCCCACTTTTGAGAAAGTGTCACTACTGATTGTTCAAGACCATGAACAATGAACGTAAGAGGGAGCAATTCTTCTTTTTTGGGGGGTTTGCATCCAGAGCTAGTAATTGATGTGGGATAAAAGGGTTTTGAGGAGTAGATGTTCTTACTGAGTAGATGGAATTGTCTTCTTGCAGGGAATGCCCAAGTTTGTTTCTAAGCAGAGTATTTTGGAAAGGACTATAAATTATCTCATTGCAAAAATAGTTCTGCTTGGGTTGCAGAGATGGCTAAGTGATCCAGGGTACTGACTGCTTTTCCAGAGGACCTGGGTTCAGTTCCCAGCTCCCACCTGGCTGCTCACGACCATCTGTAACTCCAGTTCCAGGGGATCTAACACCCTCTTCTGGCTTCCATGGGCATGGCAAACAAGTGTTTGCATAGACATACCTGTGGACAAAATACCTTATACAGATAATATAATAATAAAGTGTTTTTCTTTTAGTTCTAAAAGTGTGCACTATATTGTTTAGTGCCAGTGAAGTTTGTTTACTGTGTCTGTAATGTGTTGGGCCTGTCTTGGGTTATATTACTGAGAGTCAGGGACAGATGGAAACTGCTGGTTGATAGAATTTCGTATCGGTGCTACGGAAGTATCTGTGTCCCTGGCATGCTGAGATCTGAGGAATGACAAAGATGGGCTCTGTCTTTCAGGTGTCTGCAGTACTGTGCGATGATGAGATAATGCTGACAATTAAACCAGGGGAACATGGCTCCACATACGGTGGTAATCCACTAGGCTGCCGAATTGCCATTGCAGCTCTTGAGGTGAAAACTGATATGGCTGAATGATACCTACTTTTAAGTAGTGTTGAAGTTATCTTTAACTTGAGTCCTGGTGTGAAAAGAAGTTTAATAAGATTACTAAGTGTTAGAGAGCATGAGGAATGAAGGGACGATTTTAGGAGCAAGGTGTTCCCAAAGAGTAAGGTAGTTTTGCTGGGTAGTGGTGGCGCACGCCTTTAATCCCTGCATTCGGGAGGCAGAGGCAGGTGAATCTCTGTGAGTTCTAGGCCAGCCTGGTCTGCAAGAGCTAGTTCCAGGACAGCCTTCAAAACTACAGAGAAACCCTGTCTTGAAAAAAACCAAAAAAAAAAAAGTAAGGTAGCTTTTTTGCCTTGCCTAATAGACTGGACTCCTGGGCTTCTGGAGTTTGTAATCCGTCACCTGGCAGTGGCAGAACTCCTATACACTGACCACCTAATATGTTCCTTTGGTTTAGCAAGCAAGATTTGTTTTTTTTTGTTTGTTATTCAAATCAAGGTCTCACTCTAGTTTACATTGGCCTGAAATTTACCCTGTAGCTCAAGCTTAGACAGCTCAATCCTCCTGCTTTAGCTGCCCAAATGCTAAGATTACAGGTGACCACAAAGCTCTTTTTCCCTTTTATTTTTTTTCAAACTTGGATTTGAGGACTGGTGGTCTTAGCTCAGTAGAAGAGGAAGGCCTTGGGTTTCATTCCTTAGTACCACACAGATAAAAAGTGAAGTCAGGGATGGTGGTATACACCTGTAATCCCAGCACTAGGGATGCTGGAAGGCAGGACAATCACAGGTTTTAAGCTAGCCCAGGAAAGTAGATAAAAGGTTAGTATATGTTAGGGGGAGGGAAAAAGGCAATTTTGTGCAGTTTCAAGTTAAATTATTCTTAGTCCATTGAGGTGTTCAGATAATAACAACATATTGCATTAATCAATTTTTGATTATTTTTTTAATTATTTTTATTTTTTGAGACAGGGTTTCTCTGTTCTGGAACTTGCTGTGTAGACCAGGTTGGCCTCAAGCTCACAAAGATCTGCCTGCCTCTGCCTCCCAAGTGCTGGAATTAAAGGCATGCCACCATTGCCTGGCTCTCATTAACCACATTTTAATCTTTATTTTGCCTTGAAGACTGGTTGTCAGTGGATTTGCGATTAAAGCAAGGCTCTTAAGTTGTATGTCTTTAGCTAGAAATTACTATAGGCCCTGAAAAGCCAATGCAGGTGATGTCACTCTGGTCTTTCCCAAGTGCTTTTTGCTTCTAGCTGTACTCAGATTACTTCAGGACACTCTGAACATTTGTGTAATTTTATAAAAAACAGGTTTTAGAAGAAGAGAATCTTGCTGAAAACGCAGACAAGATGGGTACCATCTTGAGAAAGGAGCTCATGAAGCTGCCCTCTGATGTTGTGACTGCTGTTAGGGGGAAAGGGTTGCTAAATGCCATTGTCATCCGGGAAACCAAAGGTAAGGGCCTTTCAAAGACACAGTGGGTAGACACAGTGGGCTGGATTGTTGGTCAAGCCGTTTAGATAAAGTGTGACCTGATTGTCTTAATGTTATCCTAACTGTAGGTCTTTCCAACAGGAAGGCATTTTAACTCCTTTGACCAGGTCTTTGTTCCTTGCAGACATTTCTTTTCCTGTCTCTGTTAGTTAGACAGCAGCTGGCTATCCTGGGTTAGTGTCCCTTAATCTTTTTCCCTTACTTGAATGCTTTCTACCTTCTGCAGAGGCTGTGGAGGCAACTGTGGGAATAAAGGAATAGCTTTGATGTTGGCAATAGATAATGGAGGCTTAAGCCTTCATTGTGTGCCTGATATCAGTTATCACCCTCCAGGGCACCCTTCTGGTTTTCTTAGGCTAGCCCTTCCTTTTAAAGCAATTGATAACAGCAGAGGAGCTTTTGAGAAAGAAACTAAGCTTGGTTCCACCCAAGAGTATCTGATGTGATGGGTTGGGTGGACTCAGGCAGTTCTAGGCAGTTCTGCCTGCAGCTTTGTAAAATCCCTGCTGGGAAATGATGCTTAGTTCCCAGTGGTCAGGAGGTGTGTCCATATCAGCAACCTGTAGTGTTCCTAGGATTCGGGGCTTGCTTATTCCGTTATTTCATTTATGTCTCCTACCCAAGTCTTTCACATTAGCTCCCTATGATTGCATGCCAGGCATCCCTAATCTGAGAAGTTGAAATGATCCCCAGTCTGAAAGGTTTTGACCACCACCATCACACCAGCGGAGGACAATCCTATACTTGGCCCCAGGGGACAGGCCACAATCAAAATGCAGGTGCACTAAGAATTTTGTGTGAAATTAGCTTTAGTTTGTCTGAGTATGAAATACAAGTTTCATGTTTACATGAGCCCCCTTTCCTCTTCTGTGTATGCCAACATTCCTGAATCTGGCAGGAGTCCTTCTGGACCCAAGCACTGCAGACAAGGGATGTTCTGCCTGTAGTAGTCTCTGTCATTCAGACCTAGTTAGGTGCTTGCCAAAAGGTCAGTAATGCAACCTCCTGAGCAAAGGAGTGACTTAGACTTAGAACTTCTTTTCCTGAGCAGATCCTGGGAACACACTCTGGTGGGGCCGTGCTGCCCGTGCCTATGACAAGGGTTTTTATATATTGAGCTCTGTGAATACATTGTGACCATTTTTCTGTAGATTGTGACGCTTGGAAGGTGTGTCTGCGACTCCGAGATAATGGGCTCCTGGCCAAGCCAACCCATGGTGATATCATCAGGTTAGCCCCTCCACTTGTGATCAAGGAGGACGAGATCCGGGAGTCAGTGGAAATCATTAACAAGACCATCTTGTCCTTCTGAGAATAAGAACTGCTCAGTGCTCCCCGGGAGCCATCTTCAGACGGACTTCTTGTGACACTCTGCTCACAGCAGGCAGATCTCACTGGTTGGTCTCTTGAAAGACATTTTTTTTTTGGATATGCATACCTATTTTTTTCAGTTGATGCATAGTAGAGTGACATTTATGAACCTGCAGTTGGCTGTGGCATCTCGCTTTGTGGGAACTTTCTAAGGTGAAGCACTTCCATCTCTACACAGCCTTCAAATCCAGTCCTGCATCATTTACATACATTTTTATAATTTCCTTGCTGGTGTGAATGTTTTGAATTTGAAAGTTATTTCTGAGATACTACAGGAGAGACTTGCTTAACCTCATGCAGTTGAATCATTATAATCAATGGATGTTAAGATGATTAAAGGTTAAGCATATGTAAAATACCCGTTTCAAGTAAACTTTGCATTGGCCAACACTAGAATGCTTTATATAGATTCTGAGAATTCTTTCCTAAATTACACTTTTAAGTGCTTGATTGCAATTTGTAAAACATTTCAGTATTTCTTTGAATAAAGCTTATTTTTCTTTTTACTCCAGCAGAGTATTTTGTATTTCCATATTGGTAATAGTAAGTGTATTCCACTCCTGTGACTGGCATTTCTTCTCTTCTTGAGACCATTGGGTGTGTTCATTTCAGGCTTTTTATTCTAAATAAAGCTATGATTAGTTCATATCTGTATAATGATGTGGGTTTTGTTTTTATTTGTTGTTTTTTTCTTTATATTTTGTTTTATTTTTCTCTAGTGTGTTTTGTGGAATAACTTCCTGTAAGGTGCTTGCTGTTCAAAGGGGATGAACTTTCTGACCGCTTTACTCCTCCTTACTCAGCCTGGTGCTCCCTGTTCCTGAGGAGGTCACCATAATGATGCCAAACTTAGTGTGGGCACCTGATCAGCACAGAGTACTATAACCCAGAACCGACTCAAGTGATCCTCCTGTCTCAGTCTCAGTCTACTAAATAACGGGTACTACGGGCATGCCCCTGTAGTGCAGTGCAGCCTGGGGCTGGAGAGGTGCTTTAGCGGTTAAGAGAGCTTGCTGCTCGTCCAAAGGACCCAAGTTTGGTTTCCAGCACGTGCATTGGGTGGCTTACAACCTCCTGTTTCTCCAACTCTAGGGCATCTGATGTCCTGTTCTCAGCATCTGCACATATGACATATACACACATTAAAAGAAAAGAGGCTAAGTTCAGTAGTGCCTGACTGAACCGTGTGTGTGTGTGTGTGTGTGTGTGTGTACCTGCACACTTGAGATTCTGCATTTCCTCCAGGCACTCTCTGAGGCACAGAGGTTTTCTTAGGACCCTGGATCATGCAGCAGCGATTCTTCAGAGGGGGACTTGGCAAATGAAGCTTCTGGCCGAGTTCTTGGAAGGCCACTGTCATCTTCAGATAGAAGAGGGGAAAGCATGGTTATGTGAGAAGACTCTTACTGTAGGAGGCTCAGGAAGGTGGAAAGCTTTGAACTCCAGGCAAACTGGGCCTTGGGCTGATGATCCCTGGGATTGCTGGAAGAAGGAACCACAGAAGAGTACCTCTTACTACCACAGAAAACCTGCCAGGTTGAGCCCTTACACAATTGTGCCACCCACATGCAGAGGACAGCCAGCCCCAGTGGTGAGCCAGGTGCTAGGCAGTCCTAGGGAAGGGAGCTGCTTAGCAGTTTGGCCTGTCAAAATGATTGCATGAAGAGCCTAATGTTTCCAATGAGATGGAGTGGGACCTGCCTTTCGGGAGAGGGATGAATAAAGGGTGATATTGGTAAAGCCCTAGGCATGCTCAACTGCAGAATAACTGCTCTAAGGGAAGAAAGCAATTTATTCTGAGATACAGCAACCTCGATATAGGATACCCTGAAAGACACGTGCCATTGTGGAAGAGGTCACACACATTTATATAGTAGAACAAAGTCATAAACATGCTTATAAAATATATAGATGGGCAGAGGCAGGTGGATCTCTGAGTTTGAGGTCAGTCTGGTCTACAGAGTGAGTTCCAGGACAGGCTCCAAACCAAAGCTCTACAGAGAAACCCTGTCTTAATAAACCAATATGCGCGCGCACACACACACACACACACACACACACACACACACACACACACATATCTATCACACGTATATGTAGATGGCTCATCAGGCAGAGTACTTGGGATGACATGCCTAGCTTTAGCTGAGATTAGAGGTCCTTCAGGCTTAGCAGTCCATTCTGTAAGTTGCATCTAGTTGTCAAGAGGATGTTAGGTAGATGCAGGCACCCAAGCTAGAGGGCTACTTCAGAGACCGATGGCAGCTTCAGCTCTTTGTCTGCATCATCCAGGTCTCTCCTTATGAGAACAGCTAAGAGATGTGGCCTCAGAATGCACTTCCCTCTGATACAGCACTGTAGGTGGGGAGTTTGCTCGAGTCCCTTCCTGAGATTGCAAAAACTGTTAGGAAAGCCAAATAGCAGAAAGGTAACTCAGATAAGGGAGAGATTGGAGGAGAGAAGGGGGCAAAGATAGGACTGGTTACACTATGAGGGGGTGGGACTGTCCAGGCCTGATGACCATGTCAGCAGACCAACACACGTGTGTGTTGGTTGGTTTATTAAGACAGGGTTTCTCTGTAGAGCTTTGGTTTGGAGCCTGTCCTGGAACTCACTCTGTAGACCAGATTGACCTCAAACTCAGAGATCCTCTAGCTCTGATGAAAGAATTTGGAGGATTCTTAGTGTGGAAGATAGTTTAATACAGAGTAAAGAAGTTTTAAGGCATGAGTGGGCAATCTCCAGGAAAATCCTTTGTACTGACCTACATTTATAAAATTGTTTGATTGATCGAATAAAACAATTTCATGTAGCCTAGGCTGGCCTTAGCCTTGCTCTGTATCCAAAAATGATCTTGAACATCTGATCCTTCTGTCTCTACATCCTGAGTGCAGTTCTGGAGATGGAACCCCAGGTCTTTGTGCATGTTAAGTAAACACTACTGACTGAGCTCCCAGCCTACCTTTTAGGTAGACTTTATACTATGTCTAAAGTCTTTAGGACAGGCAGCTTTCCCTGACGGGGCATTTTCCTGTCTAGGTGATTGGCAGGATCATTTTGGAGTGCTACTCAGGAAAGGGCAATGGTATGTCCTGTTCTTTACCACTAATCGAAATTTTATGACCTTGGTAGTTCAGAATGTTAGGCCTCCACTTGGCCAGATATGACTCAGATGTTCTTTTGAGCATTAACCAGAGTCTTTCAGTTCTTTCTGGATTTATAGGCTGCTGACAAAGGACAGAAGGGTCCATTCTCAATAGTCCTCAAGCCTGCTGACATCTAGCAAGTTAGCTAGTTCCTTAGAAGACTATTACCTTTTTACCCCCTCTCTGAAAACTAGCTACTTAACAGTAGTTGCTTGTCTGAAGCTGTGATTAAACATCATAATCAAGAGTAACTATGGAAGAAAGTTTATTTTGGTTTGCAGCTCCAGAAAGATGAGTGGCCATCATGGCAGGGAGGCATCGGAGCATGGCAGCTGGAACAGGGAGCAGAGAGGACACATCATTTTTTTGAGACAGGATTTCTCTGTGTAGCCTTGGCTGTACTGGAACTCTTTCTGTAGACCAGGCTGGCCTCAAACTCGGAGATCAGCCTGCCTTTGCCTCCTGAGTGCTGGGATTAAAGGCATGTGCCACTATCACTTCATGAGAGAGTACATCTTTAACAGCAAGCATCAAGCAGAGCATGAACTGGAGTGACATACCTCAGTGACATACTTCCTTCAGCGAGGCCATACCCCTCTCCCCACACAACCTCTCTGAACAGTGCCACCCACTGAGGACTTATAGTGTTCAAATGCCTGAATCTATAGGGGTCATTTCTCATTAAACTCACCACAGGTAAAGAAGAAATGTCCATCTAGAAGGTAGGGATGACCGCTTAGCAAGCTACTCCCTTTATTCTGTCCCAGAGGACTTATGCTTTGGAGTGTCAGTTCCCAGAGTGCCACATCAAAAGCAGTCGCTGCCCACAGGACAAAATGGGTTGCGCGAGGAGGACCTCTGATTTACTTGGAATAATGCACCAGATGAAACCAATATTGGGTGTCAAAGGCTAGGAAGTTGGAGTTCCTGTCTGAGGTGTATGCCCACACTTGGGATCCTCCATGTGGGCTCAGATCTGTGCTTCTCAATGCTGGCCACACACTAGTCCCTGGGCTTCTTGCCCTGCTTATCAGTTGTATTGTAATCTTTAGGGCTGGGGCCTTAGTATCAGGATAATAGACATTCCCAGAGGATTATAACAGCCCTTTCAACGTGGGTGTTTCAATATAAAATTTAAGGTATCATTCCACTCAGCCATGCCAGGCTCTGAGCTGTCATTTAGGACCCACTGGTGAATGAGGCTCAGAGACCCTGACCTTATGGGTCTTTTTAGTAGGTGGGTATATTTATTGGACAAAATGTTTATTGAGTTCTGCTTGTCTGGCCCTGAGGATTGGCAGTGGTTCAAAGACATGGCATTCATCAAGCAGCTTGTGTGCCAGGCACTATTCCAAATATGTTAATTCTTGGCCTAGGTGCAGTTACTTCCAATTACAGATGGGGAAACCAAGGCTTAGGGAAGCACACTTGCCTTATTCACTGAAATAGGAAGCAGTGATGTCCTGGCTGGGCAGGACTAGGCTCCGAGGGAGGGAGGGAGGGAGGGAGGGAGGGGTTGTCTCTGAGGCTGAAGGTTGGCAGTTTCACTTCTATGTCTCTGGAGCATGGCTGAGATGCCCTTCTGGTATGTAAAAGCATTTCAATTCATTTCTGCTTTGGGGGAGAGATTCTTTAAATGCCAGTGGGAGCCATTGTGGTGAAAAATAAATACATAGTAGTAGCTTATTCCAGTTAGGAAAATTTCAAATACATGCTAGGACCTCCTCTAGGGGTTCCATGCGTGTATTAGCTTAATTCAGAGTTTTATTAGCTTCCCACCCCAACTTTTACTTTTATTAGCTTGCAAATGAGACTTACCCTTTTGCACCCGCCAATTCTTTGAACTGTTCATGAACCACCTGACCTAACATGACCTTTATAATACGCATCATGGTAGGTAAGGATAAGACCTGGGTGGAGGGCACCACAGGGGCAAAGGGTTTCCTGGAGCAATGCGAAGTCCCTAGGGACAGATACGCTGCAATGGAAGTCTGTCTAGCTGTCACATTCCTCTGCTGTCTTTCGTGAAAGGAACTCTGAGATACCTGGGAGGGGATGCGTGCTTTTATTTTTAGCATGCCCTACATGCTCTATTTTCAGGGTATCAATGTCTGAACCGTAAGAGCTGATAGTGGCTTAAAGCAGTTCAGCTCAGGTTGTTTTATAAACTAGCAGTGTCCGATCTGGGGACCTGCTGACCATGGTAGGATCCCCCAGTTGGTGAACTTGCTTTCCTGAGATTGGTGGGTCAAGGGTGACAATGTGACAGCCCCTAATCTGATTTCACTTAATCACTAATTTATGGTCTTTGACAATGTCTAAGACTTGTACCTATTAACACAATGCAATTAACTTCAAGATGTGTATGCAAATAGTATAAAAACTCCCAATTTTTCACTAGAGAACCTGGGCCAAGAGCCTGTCGTGGCTTCTGCCCCAGGTGTGTTCTCTTGGAGTGCACAGGTTCAGACAGAACTCGTGAGTTTGAGGGCACACAAGCTGCAGTAG